ATGGTTAAAATATTATCCTTTGTTCCGTATCGAGTACTCGATTTACATATGGAACATTCTCGACATGTTTCGGCTTTCATAGAGCCGTCATCAGGTGTATGTTATAAACTCTTAATTCAATTACTAATATATTTTAATACTATTTTAAGCAATATTTTTATAAAACAAACTGGTTATCGCACAGAATTTTAATTTATCTTTCAGCGTTACAGCTTTGAACAATAAAATCCATAATTTTTAACTCTAACGGTTGTTTTTATGGATGTTAAACTCGGCCTGTCACTCCAAGCCTTAAGAGACGAACATACTTTTTGTTTTGGATCACTGTGATGAGGAGAACATTTGGAATTAAGACAGAATAAGTAAGACGAGCCTGGAGGGGGTTTGTAATTTGTGGCTACTTAAATTCTGTTCATAGCTGCTCGATGTTCGGTAGACCAAAGACTTTTTTCAAGAAGACTGAAAAGTATGTGTGTAATAGAGCTCTATGTGATCCTGCAGACAGGATTTTGTCTATATTTAAGCAAGACTATAATAAAAACTCTTTTATATTGAGTTACATTTTTTTTATTTGAACCGTCTCGGGCCCGTTTTATGTATCAAGTTCATGTGGAGTTTTTGCAGAAAACATTACCGGATGAAACTGGTGCGAGAATCGTTAGGCATTTGTTTGTGTTGGTACTACTGAATGTCGCGCTGTTCGGCGGGTCTAAACTTCTGCGTGCGAGCCACTACAGCTGTGAAGACAAAACATGGCCTCCGATATGGCCATGATAATGGGAACAGAGTTGGTTCCCGAAACGTCGGTTGACGCGGCTGATTGCCGGAGAAGATTTTATTGATAGAACAAATTCTTTTGTTCACGTGAATGTAAATACCACGACCTCTTCCTTCCACATTCCTTCCAATTCATTATTCACTATCAGTCTCAGATGCTGATCCTTAAATAAACTGTTGATTTTGTATAAGAATGTTTGAACCATAACAAGTTTTCCGGGTCAGTTCTTATCAAGCTCTTATCAAGCAGAACAAAACAAAGTTTTTGATTCATAATGTAAAAAGAGAACGAAATAGCATTTATAAAGCTACCCCATCCTCTGGAACATTAAGATGTGTTACAGCCACATCGATATCTCGATTTTCAGATTCGTAATTATTATACTCTGTGAATGAAGAGAGAAGAAGTACGAATGTACTGGCTTCTACAGAGTCCCAAAAATATATATATAGACACTCTTACAATATCTTTATTTCATTCATTGAGTTGATATAATTGCGTCATATTGTGAATTAAAATTTAATTATTCGTGTTATTTTCCGTCTAATCACAATTGTACGAGGCGCGTCCTCAAAGTAAGTTTTCCTGGTTCCGTTTACAGAAACAAAACACAATTTCATGTAAATATTTATTGCAACAGATACAGCAAGTGTCTAGCTATTTTTCAACATATTCGCCACCGGAATTGAGACATTTGTCATA